TATAAGATGATTTTTAAACCCATCAAAGTGTTTACCAAACTTGCCTGATCTTATAAATTACAAAATTTATAATTTATAAATTATAAAATACAAACTTTCATGTCTCATCCCAGACCAACTATTAAAACCTCCATATGATGAACTTGTATATGTAGTTGTTATTTATATATCTAGGATGTTACCCAAGAAAGGACAGATTTGGGAAATCCTGGCAAATCAGGTTTACAAAGCAAAAAAAGAAAAGAAACATAAAATCAAACAAACAGAACAAAATATTTTGTTCAAGTGAAGGAAGTGCAAAGGAGGCATGCACAAGGATGTTCACTAAAACTATGCTTGTAATGGAAAAAAACTAGGGAAAAAAATCTAAACGTGCATCAATAGGAAAACAAAAAATGAATTGCAATGCAATTGTACAATGGAATGCCATACTTCTGTAAAACAAATGACCTATATCTACATATATGCAGTTATTCTTCCTCATCCACAGTTCCTGTTACCCACGATCAACCAAGATCCAAAAATATAATAGTAAATGCAAAATTCCAGAAATAAAAAAATATATTTTAAATTTTGAGCCTTTCTGAGTAGCACGATGAAATCTTGCGCCACTCCACTCCATCTGCCCGCTACCTCTGGAGATGAGAATCATCCCTTTCTCCAGAATATCCACTCTGTATCCACCTGCCTAATAGTCACTTAATAGCTGTCTGGCTATCAGATCGACTGTCCAGGTATCGAAGTGCTTGTGTTCAAGTAACCTTCACTTTACTTAATAATGGCCTTAAATCACAAGAATAGTATGCTGGCAATTCTGATATGCCAAAGAGAAGTCATAGAGTGCTTCCTTCAAATGAAAAGGTAAGTACAGTACAATAAGATATTTTGGGAGAGAGACCACATTTACATAACTTTTATTACAGCATATTGTCATAATTTTTCCTATTTTATTAGTTATTGTTGTTAATCTCTTACTGTGCCTAATTTATAAGTTAAACTTTATCATAGGTATGAATGTATAGGAAAAACATAACATATATAGAGTTTGGTATTATCCACGGTTTCAGGCGTCTACTGGGGGTCATGGAATGTATCCCCTGCAGGTAACGGGGAACTACTGTATGTCTCTACATAGGTGAATCTCAGAAACATGATTTGTAAGAAAAGCAGGTTGTGTGTGTATGCATGCATATACATGTATATATACATATACAAATATACATTTAAAGTACATAAAATATCGATGTGTTTACATGTATATATACACATTTATTAAACTGTATATAGCATAAAAGAATGGATATATGTTATATTCACTCAACTGAGTTTTATATGATTCAAATATTTTATAAATTAATATGAATGACTACAACCTGTGTTGGTGAGGATGTGAACAAACAATTTTTGGAGGGAAATCTGCATATCTACTCATACATTCATTTAAACAATATTGGTAACTGTAAATATGGAAACAGTACTGACATGGATCAACTGGGCATTGGTCAAATAAATTATGATACTTTGAACACCCTTAAGACATTAAAAACAGGTAGAGTAGTTAAATTGTCATTAACTTGAAAATATTTTTAAACAAAAAACAAGTAGCACAGCAGTTTATGGTATATTATTCCATTAAAGTAGATGCACAAATAAATTATGTGAGTATGATAGTGAGTAGAGAACATTTGGTAAAACTATACATTATTTATCTTTAGACATTACATATATATATATATATAATTTTTTATATAAGAAATCTCCAAACACAAAAATAGACTAATATTTAAGAAAATTTTATATGGAATGAATTGAACTAAATATTTTTAAATAACCATTTAGTCTTCAGCTATTTTCAAAATCATTCTGTAACTTTGAAACTATTTTGTAACCATGATTTTTTAAAGACCACTTACATAACAATCAGAGATTTTATTTGTTTCTTTTTGCTTAGGACACAAATTCTCTACCCTATTGACATTAAGAATTGCATAAGGCGGGGATACGAAAGACAGTTTGGGGAAATATAATCAATAATGTTGTAAAGATTTTGTAGGGTATCCGAAGGGCACTTGTCTTATTAGGGAGACCACTTCATGGACGGTGTAGATGCCTGGCCACTGCAGTGTACACGTGAAGCTGAGGCTGAATAATAATGAATGTCAACTATAATTTTATATATATATATATATATATATATATATATATAGTCACAGGATATGGAGTACAGCATAGGGAAGAGAGTCAATAGAATTCTAACAGCTATATATGATATCAGAGGGGCAGTAGATTGGAGGAGGGGGGTTATCACTTTGTGAGGGATGTAAATGTCTAACTATTACATTGCTTTGTACACCTGAAACTAATAAAAAAAAAGAATTGCATTAGGAACTTAAATGCAGGTTCTCAGGCCTAGCTCCAACCTATTGAACTAGAATCTTCAGAGAAGAGCCTGGGAATCTTAATCTCAAAGTAGCTGTTATGATGTGACAGGTTTAGAAACTATTACCTAAATGGCCTTGACAACAAATTTTTAGAAATAAATGAAATAAGACAAAATGAAACAAAAAATAAAACAAAAATTTTAAAGTACAATAAACCAGGTAATACCCAGCGTTGGTGGACACATGAGCAAACAGGAATGCAAATACATTATAGAAGCCAAACTGGAACAATATTTTTCAAGGTCAATTTCTATGACAATTAAAAGCATCCATAGTCATATACGATGTCTGGCAATTAAGTTCGTGAACTTGTTTCAACCATGTTGCTAACCTTTTTTGATATCAGAGGGATTACGCATTATGAATTTGTACCAACTGGACAAACAGTTAACCAAGTTTACTATTTGGAAGTGCTGAAAAGGCTGCGTGAAAAAGTTAGATGAAAATGACCTGAACTTTTTGCCAACAATTTATGGCTCTTCCATCACAACAATGCACCAGCTCACATGGCACTGTCTGTGAGGGAGTTTTTAGCCAATAAACAAGTAACTGTATTGGAACACCCTCCTTATTCACCTGCTCTGGCCCCCAATGATTTCTTTATTTACCTGAAGATAAAGGAAATATTGAAGACATTTTGATGACATTCAGAACATCAAGGGTAATATGACGACAGCTCTGATGGCCATTCCAGAAAGAGTTCCAAAATTGTTTTGAAGGGTGGACCAGGTGCTGGCATCGGTGCATAGCTTCCCAAGGGAGTACTTCAAAGGTGACCATAGTGATATTCAGCAATGAGGTATGTAGCACTTTTTCCAGGATGAATTTGAGAACTTAATTGTCCAAACACGCATAACAATGACAGTTCTAGGAATTTAATACCCTCGTATTATTTTAAACAAACAAACAAACAAACAAAAAACCCTATGTATAAAGAATTTCATTCAACACTTTATCATATTTAAAACTATAAACAGCCCAAATGTCCATAAATATGGGAATAGATGTGTGTATTGTCTTTATTTTGAAGGAATATATTTGGACTGATTTACAGTAAAATCTGAGTAGTATATTTCTTCAGGTAAGGATAAAGCTGATGTTTTCCTTCTACTTTAACTATTTTTTCTAATTTTACCGAAGGCTGTTTCTGACACCTTGGGAACTTGCTCAGCCCAGGCTTACGACAACTCAGAAGTGCCAGAGATTTTAACATTCCCAAGATAACTTCCACCAATAAAGGACCTGCATCTGTGGATAAATACTCCAGATTCTCATTACTAATTGGGATAGTTCTAAGGAACAGTCTACATGGGTCTTTAGACTTAGAGGGTCCCCAGCAAAATTGGGCCAGTTGCCTTTTGGTCATGTCTGTCTCTGGTGCCATATGTTTAACAACTTTTTCTTCCTAATAGTATATAAAAATAACATTTGTTATATACTCTTTTCAATGGTTTTATGTTTTTTTATCTAAACATTAAGTGTCTGTAAGTATACAATAAAAATAAGCACTTCATTATTTTTTCCAAATAGATAACCAATTATCCCAGGACCATTTCTTCAGCAATATAAACTCTCCCCAATGATTCAAAATATTTCAATCAGATTGTTAATATTTCTCTATATTTGGGTTTGACAATTGGCTCTCTCTTCTGTTTCATTTTTTCCTATATTTATTATCGCATATTTTTTAATATTGTAGCTTCACAGTATTTTTTATCTGTCAGCATAACTTTCCCAAATCATTGTTCTGAATTGTTGGAAGACCTCAGCATTGCTCTATTTTAGAGGCTATGCTAGAGTCTTGTAAAGTTGCACGAATATAATTTAGAGGAGACCCTAAGTTTGTCACAGGTTCTCAAGATCTGAAAATCCACCAACAAGACTTTTTTAGACTCCTGCCTCGGTTATAGAAAGACCACATACAAACACTTCAGAAAGGGGAACCATCAGCTTAGGTTTATATTTAAAAGCCCTTAAAAGGGGGAGCTGGTGCTGTCCTGTCTGAAGGGTCTGTATTTATAGGATAAGTCAGAAGCAGAAACATGTTGCCAAGTTTTTACAACTCAAATCCTATTTTTTAACTGAAAATAATAGTATTGTCTAATTATAACAAGCAAAACATGAATGCATGTTGATAGGAAACAAAGAAAGAAAAAAAAAACAATCACCCCTTCAATAAATAAATAAATAAAAAGGGAAATAATTAAGGTGAACTTCTTTTTTGTAATGTCACTTCCTACCTATTTTCCAGACTACCTAGCCTCACCTCCCTTCCCTGCTCCGGTTTTAGCCTGGGACAAAACCAAAAAGTCTGCTAGGAAAAATTCTGGGCTTTACTTCCTGTTGAGTGGAGAGGAGAGAAGTGGGCGTTTAATGCTATAGAAGAGAACAAAGCAATTCTTTAAAAGATCTAGCAGAAATCAGGGGAAAGGGTAAATACAAAATACAAAAATTATGGCCCATTTGGTCTCGAAGATCACTAAACAGTGAAAATAAAATAAGGGATGGACAGTAGTCTGCTGTAGGGATGGGGAGATAGTGAGAATAAAGAGTAAGGTGGCCGCGCCCATGCTCCTGCCCCCCACCCTCTTGCCGCATTGCAGATATGATCGGTAATTGTGATCTGAGCTCACAGTGACACAGTCCTTAGGCGACATAGCGCTAACGCGTGGATTAGTCTCTCCTCCCAATTGTGGTCTGAGAGTCTTTTGTGGCTGTGCGCTGGCTCACTATTGTGTTGAAAGCAGGCGAGCCTGTAGCCCTGAGGAAGAGGAAGTCGTAGAAGCTGACTCGATCCGTGGCAGGTTGGGGGACGCTGACCGAGGTAGGAGTGGCAGAGGGCAAAACCAGAGCGGGTCCAGGACTGGATTCTCTCTACCGCTTCCCGGATACCTACCCGTTTGGTGCAAGAAATGGAGGGCTTGGTGGGAGGAGATCGAGAGGGGCCAAGAGTTGAGAATGGGTACCAGTTCAGATCTACTAGGAGGTTGGAGATTGGGCGATGTCTGGAAGGGAAGAACCAGACAGAGAAGGACGGGGAGGAATCAGCAGCTGGGTGCAACCGGTGACTCCAGTTGGGGATGGCGGGCTTCGCAAAGTGTTGGGGGTGACGAATTCTGCAACCGGTGTAGGCCTCCGTTGCCAGTATCTCTTCACCCTCTGTCCGTTTTGGAATCGGAAATGGTGGGCTGTGGGAACGGGGCGGGGAATGGGGGTTGTGATTGCTGCAGAGGATAGGGAAAGGGATTAGGCTTGGAAAACGGGTCCCTTTTGTGGAGGAGGCTATCAAGTGGGTGGGCTTCTAACTGAGGGATATAGGCAGAGAGCTAGAAACTTTCTGGTCGTGTAAGCCTGGGTGCTGTTTGCACACCCTGGGGTATGTCAAATCGCTGTTAACCACAGTGGGTCCATGTTTGCAACACCCACGTTACCTCTTTGCCTTTAGTCCATCTTGATACATAAAATGATGGGCAATGAAAGAAAACAGGGGCTGGAGAAGGGCCACTGGGTCTCATAAGTTCCTAGCGAATACCTAGATTGACATTCTTTATAAATAAACCATGTTGCCACCCAGTAAGCTCTTTTGACACCCCTACCCCAAAAGTTGTCTGTTTGCATTCAAGAAATAGTAATTAGGTGACAGGAGGGATGAAAGAGTGGAGTAAGAGGCCTAAAAAAGAGGTGAAACTGGTTTGGAAATAATCATCTTTGATTACAATGTCTATTTCTGGATGGTGGGGTAGTGCATTACAGGGTAAGAAAAGAAGCCCTGAAACCGGATGGAGCAGAAAGAGGTGGTGGCAATAATTGACTAGCAGAGTCCTAAATAAACAATGAAGCTGGTGCCCCCCACCCCATATTGTCCTTTAATCAAGGGATCAGTCCTGGTCATTGTCATATTTCTGTCTGCAGGTCTTTAGGTCCGTTGGTGCAGCAGAGTTCAAGGCTAAGAGTGGAACACTGCTTCTGATCCCTGCAGGTAGGGGGATGCCTGGGGTCCTCGGATATAGGGGTATCAGAGATCAGAACAGGATCTGGAGGACTCAGCGCACCCTGCTCTAGTTAAGTGCATGAGAAACCTGGCCAAGTCTTTAGAAACTGGTCCTGTGGCCGGTGAGCAAAGAAGGGAGAAGTGCAAGCTCTGGGGCACACCTGGAGGGCTTATAAGGATCCCTGGTTTCCAACCACTGTCCCTCCCACCACTTGTCCTAGGTTTTGGTGTGAGGAGTGGCCTAGGGAAGGATTTTCAGGAAAAATGGTGGGCTTTGGGGCAGAACTGGGTTTGCCTAGTGGGTGCATGAATTCTCTCAGATGGGAAAACTGCCCACAGAGCTCTGAATCCTATTGTTACACGTATTCAATTCCTTTTCTTGCTTTTTATCTCCCAGGAAGAAGCAAGAAAAAAAAACTACACATGGAAAATGTCCCCCAGGAAATCAAACAAGGGGAGCAGGCTCCAGTGCAGAATGAAGAAGATGCAGGCCCTTTGGGAGGCGGTGAAGGCCAGGAGCCTGTAGGAAATATTAGAGGGGATTGGGCTCTACCTGCCCAGGATTTTAGAGAGGATATGCCCAATAGGCTTGTCCATAACATTGACATGATAGATGGAGATGCAGATGATATGGAACGGTTCATGGAGGAGATGAGAGAGCTAAGAAGGAAAATTAGAGAGCTTCAGTTGAGGTACAGTCTGCGCATTCTTATAGGAGATCCCCCACACCATGACCATCATGATGAGTTTTGTCTTATGCCTTGAATGCTATAAGGTTAATAATCATAAACCTCCTGATTCCCAAACTTGCATTTTTCTTGATGTACTTATTACTGTGAACCTTTCGTGTTCTGTCATTTTTCTCATTGGAGATTTCATTTTGACTTAGTCTGTAACTTTTTCTGTCAGCAGGGAAGTTTCATCAACTTGCATGGAAAGATGTTTAATAAATATCGTAAATAAAACAGTTTAAAAAGCAGTCTATAGATATGCTATCTCATTTACAAGCATGTATATTATATACTAATATGTCACAATGTGTTTTTTCTTATTTATTTTTCTTATCGTTTTTCTATTTTTTCCCAAAATGAATACACATGGATTATATGCATCAGAAAAAAAGTAAGAAGCAAATAACTTGCCAATCAGCTTTAAAGGGAATGGAGACAATTAAATACTTGAGATACAATTAAAGACATAAATCTTATATTACCTCTGGATCTCCTATTTAGAAGCAGAAGCCTGGTAATTATTACAAATACATTTCTTTAAAGTCAGCCTATTCAACTATAAAATGAATATATTGCATGCCTTACAGGGCTAGTGTGAGAATCAAATGAGTTAATGACTGAACTCTGGCTGGCTCTATGCACACGTGCAAGGCCCCAAATGTCTAGGTGCCCTTCATGTTTATGGAAGGGCACAAAGTATATGCTTACCAGCAAATATAATTGACTACCAGGTGGGTGACACCTTTCTATACCTATGCTGCTGTGCGTCCCTTCCCTGGATAATTCCATGACTGCTAGGCATTCCTTCTTTGTCTGCTCAGTTTTGCTTCCTCCACTGGTCCCCACCACTGCTGAAGTGCTGGAGTCCTAAAGACCCCCTGATTTCTCTGGACCCCTCAGTGGTCTGTATCCTAATTTTTGCCTGAAATGTGAAGAATGCCCTCTTCCTGCTTTAGAGTTATACTTAATCCAGGTGCATCCTTCCCCAGTGCTGCTTAGGTATCCAAACAGCCCTTTATGTTTTTTCTCACACCTTTTTTCTCACTCCCCTCTCCTGGATAAATCTGAGTGACATTCATGATAGTGTGCTCAGAATTGGACTATCCCTTCTGTCTTTTGATGAATATGGCCCAAACTCTTTGACCCCATTTTCTGTGCATACACTGCTGCAGGTTTCTCCATGAGCATACACAGGTGTTATGAGAGTGGCTTTATGTCCCCAAGACTGTTCTGGTCCACTCCACTCTAACCCCAAGAGTCTAGTCATCTCTACTCATGCTAGCCTACATGGATTCAGAGCAGTTTCCTTCTTCCTTTGCTTTGATTTTTGTTGTGCCCAATAAAATTGTAATCACAGATTAATGGGAAACTGGCTGGGACTGGGGACTTGGTAGATGGACCATTGTTTTAGAACATTTTCCACTACCCAGTCATTAGTGCTCCCCAATTAGACTTTGCCCTTCTCATGGTAAATATATTGTCTCATTTGTTCTGATACCCTCAGTACCTAGCACAGGGTCTGGTATATTGTAGGGCACAAGAGTTCATTATAGCTGAGTCAAGAGAATTGCAATCTGGGCCTAGGTTTGCCTCTGATCATTTATGGGCAAGTAACATCTTTTCCCTACAGATTGTAGCTTATAAATGAAAAAGGAACACAACAGAGAAAACATTATACACCAATTTAAACACATGGACATATTGTAATGTTACATGTCAGTGTTTTATCAACATGTGCTATACAAACCACTTGCATCAGAATCACCTGAGCAATTGGCTAAAAATTCAGGAAACTAGGTTTTACTCCATACTCACGGCATCCTACAAGTTCATCAGACATCTTTGGACTTTGATAAATTAAAGTGGAGGCCGCTGCCTTAATTCAAATTTGATACAACCCTCCTAAATATATATATAAATGAAAGTACTTTTTAAGTACGTACCTTAATTAACATATATATATATATATATATATATATATATATATATATATCAGGCTTTATTTTCCCACTAGACTGCCCTTTTTAAAGACACAACTGTTATTTTTGGCTATTATCTTTAGTGCATAGGTTCTCAACCATGGCTGCAGGTTTGAATTACCTGAGATTTTAAAGTGGAGCTCAGGACCTACTTCCAACCAATTGAATCAGGCTCATTAGAAGTGAGACTTAAGGATATTTACATTGTAAAATTCCCAGAGTGATTCTGATGTACATGTAGAGTTGAGAACAACTGGGTATAATTTGTGACTAAGGAATCTTTGGTTTATTTTCTCTGTGTTACCCCTGATTGACTGTGACCCTAACCAAGTCATTTCATTTATCTAGACTATATCTTGTGAAATAATACCAAAGAAAAAAAAGGGTCAGTAAGGAGGTGTGATGATGGAAGCCAGGTCAGAGAGATGCATTATTGCTGGATTTGGAGATGGAGGAATGGGGCCATGAGCCAAAGATTTGTGGGTGGCCTCTAGAAGTTGGAAAGGCAAGGAAATGGATTTCCCCCTACAGCCTCCAGAAAGGAATGCAGCCCTTACCAACACCTTGATTTTAGCCCAGCGTGACCTGTGTTGGACTTCTAACTTACAGAACTGTAAGCCTGACAAAGGACATGACAGGAAAGGAGGATGTGTACCGAGGCCCAGCCTTCAGGCCTCTCTGCTGGAGAGCAGAGATAGAACACCAGAACACTGATGGGACAATGTTGCAGGCCATTGAATGCTACGTGAAGCAGGCCATCATGGACAGAGTCTCCAGCGTATCCAGTTCAGCGTTGGTGTCTTCCTTACACGTGATGAAGATAAGCTATGATGTGGTTAAGCACTGGGTCAATGAAGCCCAGGAGGCTGCTTGTTTGTTTTTTGTTTTGTTTTTTTGTTTTTTTTCTTTTTCCTTTCATCTCTCTCTCTTTCTTCGCCTTTTCTCATTACCGTTGTTGTTTTTCTGCTCGTTTGTTTTTCTCCTTGTGCTTGATTGTTATTTCTATACAAGTGGAGGGGAGAGTGAGGGTTGTTTTGTACATCAGAGAGTATCTGGTTACCTTTGGTTGCTGTTGTGGTTGTGCTTGTTGATCTGTTTTGTCCTAAAACACGCTCTGCGGCAGGGTCCAGCCAAAGAAGCACAAGAATCACCACATCCAAAGACCAACTTCAGATAAAAACAGAGCATTACAGGGTCTGACCTACAAGACTCACACTCAAAGGGAAATCGCTACAGGCACAAGAGCCCCTTGGGGCCAAGCTTCATCAGAGGGGTTAACCCTCACACAACAGCTTATAAACGTTGGACACAGCTAATGCTCATGGATAGTCAGTTTGGGAGTCAAGCCCACCTACTGACAAGC